TGGCTGCACCTGATTGTTACCGTACTTACAGTGATCGATCAGTGTGCATGACATGAAAGCCTTCATATGGTCTAATTGTCTCTGAACAGGACGACTATAAGCAAACTTGTGAACTTCATGTTGGGATTCATCCTGATTAGGCAGCACAGCAACAGAATTTTTCACACAGCACAGAATCTCCAAATCTCATTGAGCTCACACCTGGTTTCTCGGCGACTCCTCAACTATTCGCTCACTGAAATAGTGTTTCCGTAGATTCGTTCTGAGTTTGAGGGACATTACTGTTCTCAAATTAGTTGCTGCGATTCGTCCACTAAATGCACGGTCACCACACTTCACAGTAAATCCTATGAAGCGCTTCGAGACGTCCTCCCGACGTGAAAGGTGCTGTATCAAAAGCAAGGGTTATTTATTGTTATTATGGTGCCCTGGGAGAGGAACTAGCTCGGCTGAAACTCCTCTTTAATGCTTCTATATCAACCCGGTCTAAAATAATACACAAGATTTACTGCAAAATTGAATAACCTTCAAATAAAAATTCAGCAATTACTGAGCCTAAATTATTTTTATCACCTTATCAGAAATGGTTAGGGAAACTGTACATAATGACTGTTTGATCGAAACTCTAAAAATATTTCTATGAACATACATAATCTATAAACTCACATACTGTATGTATAGGTTTAAAATATATTATTTTTGAAACCCCAGAGGATGTGTGCTGCTTATAAGAGCTCATTTAAATGGCTGATTACCTGCTAATAAAGGATTTTTTTTTTTTTTTTTGCTGACTATATATAGCCACTCAAATTAAGTTTGATAAGGTATTAAACGTGGTAAGGTTGGGCTGAGTTAATACTTTCAACTCTTCTGTCAGTCGGATTGAACAGTCTAAATTCATCAGAGCTACTTTCTGTCAGAATTACAATTCTATAGGGTATTACAGGATAAAGTGAATAGCAGCACTAGTGGGCTTTAGGATTATGGAATAATGGTAATTCAGCAACAGAGCAGTTCATATGTTATTCTTTGTTAAGGAACTTTGCAGAACCTTAATGTTGGAGCTTATTGTCATTCCGAGTTGATAATCTTCGACTGGTTTAATAATTTTTCCTCATGCCTGGATAGTTTGCGAGTTGCACAATAATCAGTCAGGCAGCTTCGTAATCAATGCCCACAGTAATAGGATTCCTTTGGCCACTGGCAATTAATAAATTTGTGTCTTTTTAAAACACTAGCAAGTTGGTCTGAAATACGAGTGACTAGCTCCTCATTTGCATATTTATTGCAGTGGGAAAAATTCACAAGGAATGATTGATGTGGAGCCTGCCTTTTGAATTCCAAACTGCACATTATTATGAAATGAAAAATGCCGGTGTACAGTTGATTAAAGTTGAAGACGGCAGGATCGGTGTTTTTTAGATTGTAGGAGAATTAAAGGCATATTTTAATGGATGTTGACAAGAAATGAACTAACAAAAGCAAAGCAAAGGATTTGCTTGAAAGGATTTAATCAAACGTATTCTCGGGATTAATTGCAGGGGACGACTAGAGAAAGCAGCAGGCTTGTGGATTTGAATGAAAACCATTGTTCTCAGGTCACAGATGTGGGTTTCCTGTCATGTTGAGCGATAGACTTGCTATCCTAAGAGTGATGGTGGACGAAACAGCTTTTTTTTTTTTTTGAAAGTCATTCCTCCTTTGCTTAATAAGTAACATTTTCTTAAACGTCTCCTCGGAAGCGGCTGAGATTGACCCAGAAGAGGCAAAGGGTGCATTGGAAACGCTGCAGCCGCCGAACGTTTAAAAGGATCCAGTTTCAGGGCACGCTCTCCTGTTTTGTCTCGTGGGAAAATATTCACTGACGCTTAAAAGGACTGCGTTGAAAGTCAAAGCGACTTTTGGGGACTTTTCTGCAACACGAGAAACAGTTTAATACATTTCCGATTGTTCGATATTCCATTCAAACGCAACGGCTGATTTTCGCAGGGATGGAAGTACAAAATAAATCCAGGATTTTTAAAACTAGCCGGGACATGTGTGTAAAGGGTTAATCAAAGGACTAAATGCCAAACAAAGTTAAATAACACCCTGCAGAAATCTATCCAGTTAATACAAATGTGCTTTAATGGCTATATTTCTATCTATGTGATATTGACCCCCCCCACCCCCCCCCACCACACACACCTACACAGAATGATTACTTCACAAGTTACTTCAGTTTGCATTATTCTATACTTCCTTGAGTTTCAGATTAGTTAGTGTCTCAATGGTTTCTTTTAATATTTAAATATTAGCAGTTCATGCATTGAACTTGTACGGTTATGAGCTGTTGGGTTCCTGTTTTTAATCACTTTCTGCACCTTTTACTTTCTGCAGCTATTTTGTTTCCCCCCCCCCATCCCCTTCACCCACCCCACACACTGAAACCAAATGCTGTGTAACTCAGTTTGATGCGAGTTTAAATAAATATATAAATTGAGGAAACGTATGCGTTCACAACTACTAAAGTAGCAAATTCTTTGGAGTATTTAAGTTGACATTTGATAAACTTCAGAAACAGATCGGGGAGTGACACATGGTGAACTGGTTGCTCAAAGGCGAATGGATTTACAGTGGCAGTAAGTGGCAATCAATTCCTGTATGAAACTGGAATTCAAGCAATCATCAATAAAATAGATATGCAGTCTTTTCCAGTTTCCTTTAAGGTCTCCAGGTCTCCATCAGTCTTTTCCCCTTTAACCCTTCCCTCTTTTGCTAACTCACAGTGCTCACTCAATTGGCAATTAAAGTTCATCAACACACACAAATTGACGTGTTTAAAGAATGTAAAAAGAGGTTAATGGGCAGTGTAATTTTTGTGAACTTTCAAGACTCATGCACTCTATGATTCGTGAAACTATTGTAATTCCTGGCCCATTTTCAGCTGAGATATTAAACCGTCACCCTGTTCAGGTGGACTATTCGAAAACAGTAGGGAGCTTCTGTCCCAGTGTCCTGGCCACAATCCACCAGATAAAATTGGGCATTCACTTCATGGGTATATGTTGGACATTGTTGCGAGGAAATTAGCTGCCGAGTTTGCCTACAAATACATTATCACTACACTTCATAGTAAATTCCTGTGTCACATGCAGTATACTGGACTGACGAACCTTATTTGTGCTGGACACTTTCCAGCCTGCTCCCCAAAGCTTAGCTGAACGAAGCAAACGGGTTGCGGCAGAGAAATATTTCCTGAACCGCAGCTAATAGCTTGGACGTTGGACCTTGATGAGGATGGGATCAATTCCAGGGAAGTTCAAATCATCCTTGCGATTTCACAGAAGGCTGCCACTGAACTGCACGGCTGCAGAGCGGAAGATATTTTGCCTTGTAGTGTCAGGGAAACTATTCCAGTGTCCTATTCCAGCTCGAGTAGCTGTAGATGAGGGATTAAAGCATGGCACTGAAATACATCCGGATAATCTGTCCATGTTATAGAAGGAGCAATAAAGAAGAAAACGCATTGGTGTCCCTCCTAAGCCTATAACTCCCGTCTGAGATGAGAATTTAGTTCTGCATAATCTCGTGTACCTTCTCTTTGTGAATGCTCCACACTATCCTCAGCATTTATAGCTCGCCAAATAGTTTGTTAAATTATTTTGAAACTCATTGGGGGTAGAGACAATTTTTTTTAGGTCATTTTTAACCTCTTTACTGCTGGCTGGTAGGAAGGCAGTCGTGGAATGTTTAAATAGTAAGAGGTTTTTGGAACAAGTGTATGTTTTTTTCCCCCCACGCAAAAAATCTCTAGAAGAGAATTAAATATGAAAAAAAACAGCTTTAATCCTGCACCTTGTAAATTCACTGCATAGTAAACCTGCAGTCCTCAAAGCAGTCATAAGCAGAACGCATTACAATACAACTCAAATACAATGCAATACAATTTACATTTATATAGCAACTTTCACGTCAGGAGGACATCCCAAAGCGCTTCACAGTGCTGGATAGCACCCGAGCTGTGGTTAGCTGACCGAAACACACAGCCAAAGCAGTACGTTGTGAGATGTGCATTGAAAGGGGAGGAAGGGAGATTGTGATAATTTACGCGGTGAGCTCGACAGTTCTTTTCCATGCAGAAATGGCTTTTCTGTTTTATTATTTCCAGTATTTCACAGTCATTTCCGGGGGAGGACATCGTTGTGTAAGAAATTGCCTTCTGAGATATTGGGTCTGTACTGCCCACAGGAAGAGAAGGAAAAGTGTCTCTCCCGGTGTCCTGGCCAAATTGGCTGCCGTGTTGACTCGCAAAGTCACTACACTTTATAGTAAATCCTGTGAAGCACTTTTGAGACGTCATCCCAAAGCGAAAGACCCTACATCAAATGCAGGGGTCATTATTATTTATTACGTGCGCACGTTTGTGCACACGTGTGCGAATTGGGTGAGATACAAGACCGCAGTTCTGTTAGCATTCGTTTGTGGATGGGTATTAAACTGGGTGGTGACTATTTAGGGAGGGGACCGTCTTCGATAATGTTCTTTGCCTCAAAGGCTTGGAAATCAAGTTCGTTTTTCGCGTTGGGGAGATAATAAGAAACTTAATAAAAAGTCCCCCTTTTTATTAAGCATTCTACATGTGTTCTGTGCTTAAAAACAGGACAGCAAAGGACAGATCTGATTCATCCTTGTATTTCTTAAAAGGTCAAGACTGGCGTAAAAATCTTACTTATTGCCCACTACATTTCAGGCCGTTCCGGGCTGCTATTACGACAGATATTCATGTCACACGGAGACTTGTATAGACACTGTACTCGCAAGCTTTCACAGATCTTCCTGATAGGGAATGATGTTCAGAAACACGAGCTTAATCCTAGCGCCATATTTTCCTCACACACAAGAAGGCTTCTGGAAACTAGTTTCTTTTTTTAAAAAAAGTAAGTCGTACAGTATTAATACGAATTCAGTGAGATTGTTGTTCTTTAAAGGCTGTAACTTGCTGCTTTTATTTTTNAAAGGTCACAAAGCGTTGAAGGCGCTGCTGAGATCACTGGTTGAGCTCCAAGACGAGATGCTTTTCCAGTATCCAGACACAAAGCATTTTGTAGAGGGCAAGAAAGCAAAGCCAGACAGGTAAGCGCGGTCAGTGATAGCAAGCGAGTTCATTTGGGGAGTTTTGAGTCTCTCGCTTTCCTTTCCAAACGAAAGGCCTCTGTCTAATTACAGGCGATGTTGAGCAGGTGTTTCTGAGGGCTGTTGGAAGTCAGAGTTGACAAGATTGTGTTGGCAGTCGAGAAATAGTCCCAGTAGACATGAATTTCCAGCCTTTATTTGCCTGTCAAAATGAATGCTTGTGACTTCAGACCCCAAGATTGATATAACACTTTCAGCAGGGTTCGTTTTTATCGGTATGAATTATGTTTTCATTTTTTGGGGTGAAATTGTCCCATTTTGGCTCTAGTTTTCCAGTAAAATCATGCCTCTTTCAGTGCTCTATGATTTAATCGATGCTGTAAATATTTTCTTCCCTAATGAGGAGTAAATGAGAGCTACGTCCCCGTCTAATGAACAGCTCAAACTAACCAGAGCTGTTCGCTCGGGATGTGTAGATGTGATAGGTGCTGTGAGTATCACAAGAAACTTGTTTAAAAGGACTTTCTTTTTCCCCAAGAGCACGTCAGTTTTGGGTCCTTACCTATCGAGCACATTTTCTTTCCACCTTGTGATGCTGTTAGTCGAAAATGGTGTCAGGACTGTCTGTTCCATTGTTAAATAAGTGAAGAGCAAGATGTCCTAACGTAGTTAGATCCTAAGTGCATTTTTATGGGTTTCCAGATCTTGGATGTATCTCAATGTAGGAAAATGTTAACCACTGAGTTACGAGGTCTTGTGTTCCCTCTCGTTTGCCAGTGACGAGGAGATAACTAGCGATGATGAAATGGAGAAGGAGAGCGAGGCACCGAGGAAAGGGCCACTGAAAAGGAAGCTTGAGATGGATGAATACCCCGACTTTATGGCCAAACGCTTCGCTGATCTCAAAACCTATCGGAACGCCACACTACAGAAGTGGCACGATAAGACGAAATTAGCCTCCGGCAAAATGGGCAAGGTGAGTTGAATTTAATTCTTATGTTTTTATGGGATATAATATATAGTTTGGGACATGACATATCATGGGACTTCCAGGATGATGGAAGGCGAATTGAATGGACCTTGGTCTTATGTGGATCACTCTTGATTTTTTTAATGTCAAAATATCTTGGCTAAAGGGAAGCTTTCTTTTTTTTCTTTTTCTTCTTAAAAAATGAGTTCCTGTAAACATAATTTTACTTGCCCAAACCCGGAGCCCTCACTCGCTGCTTTTTGGGAACATGGGTGTATGAAAGGATAAGACGTACCAAGAGAAATTATTGATGTCGACTGACTTGGAGAACAATCTTTCTATTCTTGAAGATGTTTGTGCTGATACAGGCATTCGCCATGCTTGTTCCTGGATGTTGCAGGCCACAGATTAGTTTTGTGCCCTGGCCAACCTCCCTTTAATGTGTGTTACTGAGTTATCTTGGCGGTTGCATTTGACCAAATATTGATTCAAAGCTTTATATTGGTTTATACATCATAGTTCGGAGGGTGTTGGGGGGGAGAGAGCATGACAGCGAGAGAGAGAGAGACGGAAGAGATGTAGTCATTACACAGTGTTGTGCAGTGATTTGTGTGTTCAAAGTCTTAGTGCTTCTTTCTGTCTTGTGAGGATCGTGTAAAATAAACACGCTTTTTAATTTAAAAGAAGCTGTGAATTTGACCTTTGTTTATCAGGGAGGAGGTCCATTTTGAAGTAGAAATGTTACCTGGTTGTTTACTGTGTGTTTTTAAAATTGTATATAATATATGTGTGTATTTATATTCATTCAGGGATTCAGTGCTTTCGAACGTTCAGTCTTGACTCAGATCGAGCAGATTATGATGGATAAAGAAAGGTTGTTGCAACGAACTCAGACAAAGAGGTCCCTGTATAGAATTCTCGGGAAAATGGAAGAGGATTCTAAGCAAATTCCAGAGCAGGTGCCTGGGGAAATGGTATGTGATGATTTTGTATGATTCTTTAGAGAAACAAATTTATACACCAAAGTATCTTTTATTTAAAAAAAAGCAATTAGAATAATAATCTTTGGCTCCTTTGTGCAAAGCTTTTTTTGAGCAGCAAGACCATTTTCCCCAAGCAAAGTAACTCACAATTGAGTCTGGATTAGTAACCAATTTGTAAAATATTGCCCAAGATTTAATTTGAAATTGCCATAGTATTGTTCATCGCTTCAACTAAATTGTGTATACAGTGGCCTTTCCTGTTTAATTCTTGGATTTCCAAATGACACTATTTTACTGAATGGACGTCTTAAAAACTGTTTTAGTCACAATAATAATAATAATAATGATAATTCCTATATTTCATATCGGAAAGGCGTCTTGCGGTGCGCTTCCCAGGATATAATGTAAAGTGACGGTATTTTTGGGGGTGAATTTTTTCACTATTTTCTGGTAAGTTCTGTAACATAAAATTAAAACGATCTGCGATGGAATCAACAGATTAATCGGACTCGCTTTTTTTTAGTAGCTCAAGATTTGGGCTCGCGGAAATCTTCAACCCAAACAATAAACCGGTGCACTGATTCAAAAAACACTTAAAAATCGAAAACAAATCATACCTGCTCTGTGAGAGACTGAAGTATGCAGTGTGATAGCGAGCTCTACAGGTCAAGAAAGATGCAATCACCGACCGGTCTGTGCTGAGTTATTCAGAACGGTGATAGCCTCGGTGTACCTGAGCTAGGGAGAGGGAGGGATAAAAACTGCCCTGATTGCTACCCACTTATATCTCCCGGCAAATGTTTTTTGAGCAGAGATTGGATGAGGATGAAATCAGTACTGGCTGCATTGCCCCCTGCAGTTGATTAGCCTGATGCTCACTGTCCTGTCTCTCACGTGAAGCACTGACTGCTGCCAAAGGAGGGGTTGATTGCAGCTTGAGCCACCGTCTTTAGCTGAGGGAGAAAAGGCACACGTGATATCGGTCACATTTTCCGTTCAAAAACTTGTTCGAACAGTGAAGTATAAGGCTTTAAAATAAAAAATACTTCATTTTCTTCTGCCACAAAACCCATAGTCAATCCATTTTACAGAATATCCTGTGAAGCGCTTTGAGACGTCTCAAAGACGTGATAAGGCGCTATATCAAATGCCAGGATTATTATTATTATTATTATTTTAATGAACCTGAATTTAACCCCCTTTCTTGCACTTGTAATATTTTTTTTTGCTTCCTCTCTCTGTCTCACACTCTCTCTCTATCTCAACAGGAGGTTGTGCCACAAGGAAAGTCAAACGCACATCTGAAAGACATAGACGAGGAGATTTTTGATGATGATGACTTTTACCATCAGGTGAGTGTTCTTAAATAGGCTCTCCCATCACAGCTCGTGGGCCGGGCTATCAATAAACCATCTAAATTGACGTGAGCAACCTAGCAATAGAGGAGACCGGGGCATTGCAGTTCAGATTGTTCCAAGTCAGAGAAACGTTTGTCAGCAAGTCTTACATTCAAAGACGTTTGGCAATAAATCATCTCGGGGGAAAGATACAACACTGGCACATGTTCTGGATGAACAGTATGGTGACCTGGATAATAGACAATGTTATCAGCCTATGTATTCTCCGTTTCCCCCCACTCCCCCCCCCAACCCCCCAACGCCTCGCCCTCCCTCCCGCACTGGATTAAAATGCCAATCGCAATGAGTAACTGATCAAGTTCAAATAAGGTCACACGACTAAGCATTTCTTTATAATTTCAGGGATGCAAAGAAAGGTGAGCTTGCAAAGTTACGTGCGTGTAAAAAAAAAAGAGACACTAAATGATCTGTGATCGGTTCAGTCGGGGAGGTACTGCACTATCTTGAAATGCACTTAACATTCACTATGAACATGATTTATGGCTATACTTATACAGGAGGCTGCACTACAGTGTACCTTAGCCAAGTCAACACGCTGCCAACAGCCCAGACGAGTAGCTTTATGATGCACAGGGGAGACGGAGCATCCTCCAGTCAAACTTAATTATAACAAAACTTGGGGTTATTACAAAGCACTTCCACTGACAGATCCTTGCGCTGGTTAAGGCGGGCGTTCCTTCAAAGTCTAGCTCTGTGTCAACAAACATCCATTTCCTTACACTGCAGGTGAAATCATAACAATAATGTAAAAAAANTAAGAATTTTGGTATTCACGTCCAGTGCCCCAGTGCTAGCAAAGTTGTGCAGAAATGATTGCAGGCGGGACAGAACCATAAATTACTTTTTGGCAGTCCGACTATTGCCAGGAAGGGAGCTCGCACATGAATAAGATAAAAGGCCTGATGGATGTATTTTTACTGGTTCCCATGAGTTTGCCGGAGCAGGGCTGCGCTATATTATGTTTTAATCTTTTAAAAGCACCTTTCTTTGCACTTTTTTGAAAAAAAAGCCAGTGCGAATATATGTATATATATATTTCTTTTGGGGGTTAGGGGACTATTCGCAGTGTACTGTAGCCTTTTTAACCCAGTGAAACTTAAAACTGGTGGATAACCCAAAGATTTTCATTCCTTAGCCACCCATCTTTACAACATATTTTATTATTATATATTTACAATATATAGTATGAAAGGCTTTGATAAAGTGCTGTATTAAATGCAAGGATATCTTTTCCCCTGCCTCCCAACCCCCCCCCCCCCTCTCCAAAACACACACACACTTTCTATTGTCTCAATTGTAATGAAGTGATGCTATAAAGTGGTGAGTAGTGAGGGTGGTTGAAGCTGTACAGCCCAGTACTCCACTAAACCGATAGATGAATAAACGAGTCAATATAAATGGCACTAAGAAACAAATTATAATTAAGAATCCTCAATTGAGTACTTTTGAACTTCCTCACATGATTCTTACATCTTTACCTTTCTTCCTGAGAGATATTTTTGGTATGAAAAATGGGGATGTGGTGGGGGAGGAGTGTGTGGGGAGAAAATTCCCTTCCTCATTAAAGAGGCTTATGATTGATGCCTGATGGCTTAGTGGCGAAAGATGTCACTCAGTGTAAGGATAATAATAATCCTTGCATTTAAGGTAGCGCCTTATCACGTCGTCGACATCTCAAAGCGCTTCACGGGATATACTGTAAAGTGGAGTGACTGTGTGTGTTGTGGTGAGGATGGGATAGAGTTTGGGTGCGAAGGCCTTTGAATTGCAGTTGAGCCAGCACTTTTGATAAGGACGAGAGGGAGAATTGAACCCAGGGATTGGGACGGTGCAAAGCTGGCAAGTACTTTTTTGTCTCTTTACCTTCCACCACACTGAAAGCCTCGACCTGAACAGGTCCGAGTTGCGCTTTGCTGGCTGCCTGTGTGTTTTTTTTTCTCTGCGTCGGATATTAAGACGAAAGTCTTCATTAAAAGGGATTAACGAAGGTGGAAGGGTTAATTTGCAGAGGTTGGCGAAGCAGGGAGCCGTGCAAGCCAAATGTGTCCGCGATGCAAGAACTTAATCATTCTATTCCCCAAGACTTCAACACGTCTGAAGCAGCAGCAGTAACAGCAGCAGCAAGGGGGAGGGTTTCTGATGTGCTTCTGGTTGACTGATGGCTGACACTTGTTAACACAAGCGACTGCAGAACCCTCCAGATTGCTTGGCTGCTGTGCCAACTGATTCTTGTGCGAGCGGAGTAAATGGAAAGCGAAGCCCTCACCAACATCTGGCATCGCAGTAAGGAATGGGTGCAAACCTCGACTCCCGTAGACTCTAAATATGGTGCTTAGGCTGTGGAGGCTTTAATCACTTAGCCAAACCTTGACAGATTTCCCCGACAGCTCATCCCTGCCTTGCACATCACCCACAGACATCTGCTGAGCTGCAAGGCAGCAGCACATTCATTTTCCTTTACACTTTTCAATACATTTCTTCAGAGAGATGATCTGTAAAGATTACTGCTTCATTGTGTACAAGTAATTGTAGGGAAGAGTGGCTGACAGACGCAGTGTTGCACCTGTTTCACTGACCTGGTTAATTTCTTCTGTTGAGTGGGATTTGGCCGGGATCATGGCTGAAGTTGCCGCGATGATTAAGGACACGTGTTTACAGAGTAGCAGTGTTAACGTGGCTTTGCAGTGTCAGAGGCCTGTGCATCGGTGGATTTGTATCTTTTTATTCAGCTGCCAGAAGTGACTGTGATGAACAACAATAGATAAACTGACAGATTGTCTGCCAGAGAGAAGTTGGAAGTAGGTCAGATGGATAGGGTTTGAAAGGGAGGGAGCGAGGGTGGGCTGCTCCTAGCAGTAATAAAGTGAGCACAATGACTTATTAAGTTAATAAAATATACTTTCAGAATAGATTTGAAGATTACTGTCATGTTATCCTAAAATACCTCTATTATATATATATGTGTATATATTATATATATAAAACCTTGGAGTATTTATCATATATTCAGCGTACTTTGTGAAAAGGTTGAGCAATATCACCAGAGGGGGTTTAGATGCAATAAACTATCATGGGGTGGGTGGGTGAGGGGGTTGGTAGTACTTGTTGTGAAGTCTGATTTATTTATATCATTGCCTCAAATTCAACCTCAGAGGAGCAACTCCTATTTAACGGTGTTATTTTATTTGTGAAAAAAAGGATATTTCCACCTCCTGCACTTTACACCGAGCATCTGAATGAGATTTATGGATTTGTACCTACCTGTGGACAGTTCAGCGCTGTGGGATCAGGATCTGTGGGGAGCCTGGATTAATATATGAACGATTCTTTGTCACGTGGGGCCAGCAGAGAGAGAGAGAGAGGTGGGGGATTTGCATCCTACCTTTTCCCAGCTTAATATACCTGGCTCTCAAATGTGGAAAGATGGTGTGCTATCCCACTGCACCATCCATTTCCCAAACTGGTCACAGGGTTATATCCTAAAAGTGCCAGACTTGAACCTGCTAACTGCCGTGTGTGATATAGACATTATTTGTACAGCGAGGCCTTTAGATAAAGACGTTGTTGTGTCTGTCTTGATCTGTGGAAGCTGCCAGCTTAGCTGTGCGAGTTCAGACTCTTCCTGGCTTTCAAACGCTTCCCACTGCAGTCAGTTCAGTGGAAGATTTCATTTATTCTTGTTTAAAGAATTAGTAAGTAAATGGCCTTTTTTTTTGGTCTTTGGACCTGTGAGCACTCTTCTGAAGTGTGAACTCCTTCATTTACATATCTGTAATTGTAAAGTTTGTGTTTTCCGTACAATGGAGACAGTCTCGCTCTCTTTCTCTCTCTCTCAGGGTAAACTGCAGTCAGTTGTGCAAGATTCTTGCCGCGTTATGCAGTCATGCTGTGAGATTTCTGAGTAGTCGCATCATAATAATACAAAAAATCCTTGTATTTGATATAGCACCTCATCACTTCTTCGAGACGTCTCAAAGCGCTTCACAGAACATACTGCAAAGTGATTTGACTGTATATTTTTTGTGGGCGAAATAATAATCACTGAATCAGGAGTTGCTTGGGTTCATTGGTAACTTCGGTGCTGAATTGTAAACTCTTCCGTTTAGTATCAAGGGATTGCTTTGGATATTGACTCCCCCTTATCCAGCTGGACACTGTCTCATGACATGAGAGAGATCCGATCGAGTCCCAAGGATGTGATTGATGATTCATAACAGTCTTTAACCAAGCCATTGGGCTGGTCTAATGATAACATTTCTAAAAAGCTGTCATTTGAACGCTGACATAATCACTTATATATTTTTAATCTCCTCTTTTAATACAGCTCCTCAGGGAACTAATAGAGCGGAAAACAAGCGCTGTAGATCCGAACGATCAGATTGCCATGGGACGGTAAGTGCAGGGAGGTGGCTCTCAATACCCCCAATGTCATCACGTCCGTCAAAAGAGAACCACAAAGGCTCTTAAGAATCCCTTCATGCCCTAACACCTACCTTCCCTCTCCGACCAGGCAGAGCTCCCCCCATCCCATCCCACTCCCCCCGTCCAGCGCACTGCAACTGAGTGTCAGCCTGGAATATGAGCTCAAAGCCCCGATTCGGCTCTGCGATAATGTGGTGCGTTTGTCTGGATTGTAGAGTTGTAATCGCCCCCTAAAACGCTCTCCTTTTCCAATGTCGGAATGACTTGACGTGTTTTCGTTTTCGTCAGCCCGACCCCCTACGGTTGAACACGCACGATGTGGAGAATTGCACAAAATGTAACGGCCAAGGAAAAAGGTAGTGTGGCCTAACTAGTCCACACAATCTTGTCAGTGTTTATACTGTACATGAGCCTCCATTCAAGTTGCCCCTTGGATGTTGCACTTCAAATATGGCTACCGGCAGCGAGCTCCACATTCTCACCACCTGCACCCCTGCTTTCTGGAACTCCATCCAGGAGTCCCTCCAACTCCTTCCCTCCCTCCGACTCCTTCCCTCCCACCCTCCCTCCCTCCCTCCCTCCTTCCCCCCCCCCCCCCCCCCCCCGATTTTAGGCACGACTCAAACGTACGTCTCACCTTTCCCTTCCCCACCCCTGGCTCGGATGCCCAGCTAGCTAAGTGCTTTGAGACATCTTTGCGACGTGGAAAGGAGCTATATAGTATTGTGTGACGGGCTCACTGGCCACACTTGTTGCATCTGACCTGGAGTCCAGTGGATGGATGGAAGGGGGTGGGGATGAGAAGAGTTACTGGATTAGAAGTACGATGACCAACAAGAATGAGCTACTTTCCAGAGACGCTTATTTACAAATAGATCCAAGCTGCTTTCAACAGTGAAATAGAAGAGCAACAGTAATAAATCTGGGATCTTGTCCTATATCTACCAATTCTCTTACGAATATTTCACTGAAAGCAAATTCACACTGTCAAAACATATTCCACAAGCATGATCGCAGCGAGGTTTTAAACATGCCGTAAAATATCGACATGAACGGTTACGCTACTCTTATCAATGCAATTAACAAATGAGTGCAAACGTTCTTTCCCACACCATTGCAGGCTTGGTTCTGGATGGGAGGAGTACGTGGGCTGTTCACAGACGCTGTTTGTCTGTTTGTGTGTGCACCCCCACCCCCCACCCCCCACCCCACTGTAGCGAGCCATCTGTCTAGAGGCGCGAGGGACCTCACAGATGCAGCTTCTCTCTGATTCCCCCCTTCCCGCCCCCAAGCCCGGTAGGGAGGTGACACAACCTTGGTTTGGCACGGCTCCAATCCGCAACTGATCCCAGGCGAAAGTAGAATGATTGCAAGAGACAGCTTTCTTTTGGTGTATTGTATGTCCTCCTTCATTTCTATCTCCAAAAACTCGCTCTGCTTTGAATTCGCAGGCAGTGGCTCGCTATCCAGAGGCTACGCAGTAAGATTAAGAGAAAAGTGGATACCAAAGCCAGCAAAGGCAGAAAAGTTAGGTAAGTCAACATTGGATGCACTGCAGTGGTTAGGGTTAACGACGAGTTCCTCTGGGAGACAAGACCTAAGAAACTGAGAAATATTTTAGTTAATTACACTCAACTTGATGGATGACTTTGGCTGGAATTGTGAACCGACAAAATCTGTTCCCAAACCAGTTTGTGCTGCTCTCTGCTGCCTATGGTACACTACTCCTTGTTTATGGCTGTTGTGAAAGGCCTGCTTTAGTGTTTCCGAAAGTATACAGCTTTCTGCGTCCTCCTGACGTAAAAGGCGCGATACAAATGTAATTTGTCGTTTGTTGCCTCTTCTGAGGAAGGGCTCTAAAGTGTCGAATCCCTTTCTCGGAAACAACACGAGGAACTATTGAACTTATCTCGTGATTGCCCCCGCGTTCACGCGAGGAAGGCAAAAATGCCGACATATTTTGGCCTAACGCAAAGTCTAATTTTGAATTTTTTTTTCTTCTCCCCCCCGCCCTCTTTTCCTTCTACCAGATATCACGTGCACAACAAACTGGTGAGTTTCATGGCACCTATTGACCACAGTGCGATGAACGATGAGGCAAGGTGAGTCATAAATTATGTTCATCAAACGCCTCTCCTGGCACAATGATATTGACCTGTTCTTCAACCCGTCACCCATCCCTTCCCTTGTTATCAGATCACCATTCGTCAACCACATCAAAGCCCCAGCTCGCGCCAGATCTGCCGAAGTGATCTCGCCTCTTTCATTCCCGTAATTATAACACTACTAAAAGAGAAATCACTGTAAATTGATGATTGGCCCGAGGTATATCTCCATAGATTCACTGCCATCGCTAGGCTTTAATCACTATCCTGCAGAGCAAACGGGAGATATAATAGAAAATGTATGTTGGATTAGCAAAGCTATCAAAAGCCTGTTATTCTACATTGTAGATGAATGTACTGACTGTCCATCTGACTAAAGCCCTGACTGTCCGCTGCCTGAGACGTCTTCCTGATGTGAAGAGCACTTTAATTTGTTCCTGTTGTAGTCATATTGGTTTGGGACATTACTGAAGGAGTCTTTTGGGGAAGCAGGGAGGGGGAAAGTTTACAAAATCCAGCCCAGTTGCATATTTTTTTCTTTGTTTTAAGCTGCCATAGAAAACCTAGTTGCTGTAGATTTTCCAATTATCCGGGTAAAAGTGCTTACGATATATTTATTTGCCTTCAAATTTCAGTTGTCGATGAGTCAGTGTTTGCTCATTATTGTCAGGGATAAGCGTGCTGGAAGATTATAGAATATTTCTTAATTTCATATCTAGTGGTGTCACATGCAGAGACTGGCAGAGAATGACAGCGCAATGTTAACTCACTTTAATTCTCTTTTCCCCACATTCTCTGCATCTGTTGTGTTTCTGAGCTTCTCGAACTTGGTACTGTAACCAAGTTTTGAATGTAGACTATTAATAATGATTGCTGCTGTCAGTAAACTTTCATTTACATCATCAAGGCTACCACTGTCGATAGCCGTTCACTTTTTTTTAAGCTAACTTTGGTTTCAGCTTTGGCTACTCGTATTCACGATAATCTTTGCGCCTCTCGTGTCTCAAGACACTCTGCAAATTAAAATTGACTCGAAGCGGTTATATGGGCAAACTTACCAGCAAGGTCTTGTAAACAGCAATGAGATGTGCTGCCAATTATTTTCCGGGCAAAAGGTGATTGAGGTTAGGGGAAAGTTAGCTGACTTTTGGTTTTGAAGTGGCAATCTTGTTACTGAACAGAATTGGAGACTTTCACTCAAGAATTCGAAAGCTCCGTTGTGCTAACTTTTCACTGAGCGCAGATTTGCTGTGCAGACTTATTTCAGAAATCCATTGTCCTCAACAAGGTGGTTTCAGAATAAATGGGAACCCTTGAATACAAATTAGCCCAGTAATATATTCATAAAATATAGCTTTTGGCATTCGTTTTAATTTGGTTTGATTAATGCTGACAAGTACAACTAAAGGGTAGGTTGCACGATAGAATAAGGTGAGACAAGTTTCTTGTTACTTACTCAACTCTTTCCAATTAATTGTCACATTCCTATAGTCCTTTGAGATGATGGTAAAGCCCACGGTTTGCATATAAAATGAATAGCCGGTGACCTTGCAACCCGAGGATGTGTTCAGAAGCTGTCAAACTGTGCCAACGCTCAGAGTGCGTGAGGAATAGTTGAGATCCGAGTGTCTCAGATGCAACAAGCCAAGAGTGGCAGTGTTGGCAGTGGTAGACTCGATGCTCTGCCCTTCGTTCTGGGCACTGCTTCGGGCTCTGTGGAAGAAATGGATGGTCAGGAGGGGCAATGGAGGTGGAGAATATAAAAGGACCTAATGTTGTAATGTACCTTCGACTGGTTGTAGCAGCATTGGGACAATGCTACATCAGAAACATGTATAGTACATCATTATAGTAATAGTAATAATACTTGCATCCGATGCAGCACCTTATCACGTTGTTGAGACGTCTCAAAGCGCTTCACAGAATACACCGTAAAGTGGATTGACTGTATATTTTGTGGGCAAAACCGACAGCCCAATTGCGCACAGCAGTGTCCCTCCCACAAACAATCATGGATTGAGTGACTACATTTTTTTNATCGTTCACTTGCAATAATACTGTATAGTGTAGTAACTGTACCATTCAGGCAAACGTACCTTTCACGTAGAGTAAAATTATGTATTCTAAAAATCGATCTGAAACTTGCTTAGCTTATCTAAAATAAGCTTACATCTGATGTCATCCGAACTGGCCATTCATTCTTTGTCAAATTTGCCAACATTTTCATATCTCGTGGTCGAAGGCTGAGGGAAAGGAAGGAAGAGACGCAGTTGAAAGTAACTTACAGCGGACGGAAAAGTTTGAGAGATTCTGAACTGACAGTGAAGGATTCCGTCTTTACAAATTAAATGCTCTTGTTGAATGGGTTGGGGATGGGGGTGGGAGGGGAGGGAAGAATTTTTTGTTTTTGTAATTCTGTTCCTACCCAAACAAATTATACAATATAGATATAGTTAAAAAATAACATTGACCTCAGGAGCAAACAGCATTTTGAGTATTACTGGGCCTTGGAAGCTGCAGCTATGCTCTAATCTTAACCTGTGCATGTTAAGATGAGAGACACATTACGACACTCATACACACCACAATGTTGAGTCCGTCACTCTCCCCAACGTGAAGCCTGGGTGCCAGAAAGTGGGATCATTTCCCCCCCCCCCACTCTAAGCCCTTCAAAACAAGCAGAAAGCGGATTTTTTTGTTCAAACGCTTGAAAAGTCTGTGTATAAGCCTACGCAGTTCACGAACGAGTGCAGTTGAAACAAATTGCCTCGCTGATCTTTTACCTACCGGGGTGATTCATTACGATGATGGGGAGCGAAGAAATGGTTGGTGCAGCGGGTTAGAACACTCTCGTTTCACCTCTGATCTGGGTTGAATTCAGCCTAGAATTGAGAGGATAAAAGCCTTCCCCCATTTTCTTTCTCTCTCTCCCTCTCTCTATTTCCTTTGGTGTCGCTGAAACGTCGTTGAGACGTCTCAAAAGAGCTTCACAGAATGTACTGTAGAACTGGAATGACCGTGTATTTTGTGGGCAAGTCGAGGCAGCCAGTTGCGCACAGCAGAATGTTTTGCAGATGTGAGAATATGCCTCCAACATCTGTCAGACCATTTAATAAGCGCATTTGCTTAATGCAGTAACGCTTCCAAACTTGTGTCGGGATTGTATGATATTAAAAAGTTGCATTGATTGTCGCTTAAAACTGCATATTGTGAAACGCAGTACCAATCCTTTCCTTGATTAAAGTGCTTGGACTAATGCCGTACCTTTGCCTATATATACTGTCCACCTCGCAAGCAGCAATAGACGAGGCAAATATGCCACGACGGCAATTTAATCGCTTTTTACAAGAGTAATATTTTAAGTTATTTTACCTTTTAACAGTGTCGTTAAGGAGCCTCATTACTCTTTTATTAGAGCGTTGTAACTCACTCTACTCTTATCAGATTACAAAAAATGAACATAACTCACACCACATATTAGATCTCTTGTAAAGGGGATTACAGCCTTGCATTAACTCAGATTGACATGGTTTATAATTTGCTTGTTGATACACACGCAGCGATGTCATGCGTTTGACCCACAGCAGCGTGGAGGAAAGGGACACCTATACATCATCATTAAAGATGGCATCCGCTAAAGATTCAGAGCCACGGGGTCCTTCCTACAGTAATTGTCACGAAGGACAAAGGAGGCACTTTCAAGTGCATGCCGCAATCTAAAGTCTAGTTTAAATATGAATGCTCCAGCATTAAAGAGGCATTAAAAATCTTCGGCGAGACCATTAAACCGTAGATTCTTCTTTGCTTATTTCAAGCCCATTTTAATTTTTTTTTGTGTGTGTGTGGGGTGGGGGGGGAATTAAGAATATTAATTTTAAGAATATTGATAAGTTGGTTTGCCAGCTTTCACCAATTCCTCAGTGTTGACTCCTTTTTTTAAATTACCACCTTTTTTTGACTTGTTCTGGTAGCAAAAGCTCCAGATATGTAAATAGCGTGCCTTAGAGCCTTGCTTCCCCCAAATAATAAGAGTACTTGCATTGGATATAACAATAATATTCCTTGCATTCGCTATGGCGCCTTATCAAGCCTTCGAGAAGTCTCGAAGCGCTTCGCAGAACATACTGCAAAGTGAACTGACCGTATATTTTGTGGGCGAAACTAAAGCCTTTCACGTCCGGAGGATACCTCAAAGCACGTCAGGATTTACAAACGACACAGCCACCACACTTTTGGTCACAGGATGTACACCTAAAGTGTAGTGACTGTGTTGCTTGTAGGTGAATTTCTGTATAGAGAGGGAGAAAGTCATCAACAAAAGGCCGATTTCAGCATTTTATACAAACGTGTAAAAAAAACCCAACTTGGTTCAGGTTTGAATATTGATTTTAAAATACAGCTGCATAGGGGGAAAGAAACCTGTTAGCTGCTATTTTCATATTGAAAACTAAAATAGGTTGATTTTGCTGATGTGCCAAAGTGGACATTAAAAAGCTTATTGGCAGAAAAATAAAAAGGAATGGTCATTCATGTCTCGGCTGTTTATGGGACATTGCTGTTTGCAAATTGGCTGCTGGGTTTCACCAACAAATACACAGTCACTGCATTTTACAGTAAAATCCTGTGAAGCGCTTTGTGAAGATATTTACAACATGATAGGGCACTACTGTATATCAAATGCAAGGGTTATTATCTAAAGCCCGACTGAGGTTATTTTGAAACATGTCAAAAGTTACAATAATTGAGAGGTCAGACAGAAGAGAAACTGCAAATGTTTCATCGGAAATGGTGCCTGGGTTTCCTAAATATTTATTAAAACTGTGCCCTTTTTTTGAGCGAAGAAAACTGGAATGTCAGAATAAAGAATGCAAATTGGTTCTCGAAGCCAACTTTGATGATTAGGCCCAAGAATAGTGTTTATGCAAAGTGGCAGATTAGCTGTCGGTAAAATAGTCTCACAACGAATGATGCAGTAAATCCATTAAAAATCTGACATT